AAAAAAAATAAAATAAAATAAAATAAAACTGCAAGTGAAACATAGAATGGGGCCTAAGACCAAAGGTTAACTTAGGATGCCGACAATGGAATTTCATTGTAACATGATTAAAATATGAGCTAAATCCATGCCCTGTGAAATGTAATTGCTAGATATCTTGAAAGTGTATCTTCTCCTCCACACCATAATTTTTTACAAAACCACTAGAATATTTCTTTGTATCTAAAACAAACTTCTGGCGGAAATGTTGATGAATGTTTCCTATTTTTGTATTCCATCAAAGGTTTGCTTTTGTTCATCTATCATCTTAACAAATAATGTTTTAAGAGTTAGATTTTTTTGTCCCATGTATGATCTTTTAGAGCATTCCTARTTTCCTCTTCTGTAAATCTTGTAGGATGAAATTGAAAATCAGCATTTTCCCTGATGCCTTGGAAAACCCCCTATTTGTTATGATCTCCACATCTTTGGTTAATGATAACCTAACTTGAGGCAATGTCCACCTTTCTTTTAAGGCAATTGAATGAAGTAATTACTGGTTTCTCAAACTTTCCTTAATACATTCGTAAGCAATTTTAACTTGCTATATTATTACCCCATAAGCAAAAAGCAGAATAGTTCATCATTCTTGTGAAATTTTCCAACACAGCCCAGATGGCAAAATAGCTGTATTGCAGTAAAAATTACCTATTTACCAAAATTTTGAGAATAAAATGAGAATTGTGATAATTAAGATTTTGCATGCACAATGTATTTACTGTGGTATTTTACACTYAATGTAGTTTTAAGGTGAACACTTTATCATTCTTTGTGTTTGTGTATTTGCATTCAGGCTTCTATTTGGGAAAATTAGATTAATAATTTGAAGATCTCACAAATGAATCAGAGGTCTGTGGTGAGAGCTTCCATGTTCAAGTTTATGTCTAAATCTTCGTCTATACAAATGAAAGCCATGTCAATATACTTGATTTATTCATATCATGGAAGCAAAATGAAGGAAAAATTTAATTTCAGCAGTTTGATAGGTTTTTCCTTTTATCTCATTCTTGTTCCTAGATTCTTTCTGTTTTCCTTTTATGATTTTTCCTTTTTTTGGCTCACTTATATGATGCTGAAATTCCAATTTGATCTATRTGATGGCCTTCTAATGAAATCTTTTGCTGTCTCACAGTCAGTGACAACACGGTGAGACAGTGAAGAAGACATTTAGTGTACAATGAAGGTGATAAAGAGGAAATTGAGAGGTAGGTTTTTGGAGGTAGGTTTTTGGAGTACTCATTAAAAGGATTTACCAGGCTGGTGCAGGTGTTTTCATTTTGCTTTTACATTTGAACACTGACCAGATTGAAGATATGTATTTAATACACTAAGAGGTTTTATACAAGGTTGGGAGTTTTTCATTGACTCACTCTTCAACCAACACTGAAAAACTCCTAAAAGGGGATTTTTTGAGTTGCTTTTCTGGTCTTCCATTTCTTTTTTGGAAAGAGACACAGAAGAATTGCATCTAGGGTTCACAATTTGAAATCCACCAAAATTTTCATTTTTGTGCTAAGCTTTTTGAAAAATACATTGTATTTTGTTGCTAGTACTTTTTCTGTTTCATGCCCAAGGCCAGTCACACTGAAATCCTTTCACTTCTCCAATCGTGTTGTGCTCTTGCCTGCAGATTACTTCCTCCCTCTGTCTAGACTGCTCTTCTCTACATACCCTTCTTCCTTTTATGCAGCTATCTCCTACTTATCCTTCAGATCTAGTTCAGAATTTCTTTCCAAAGCGTAGACTAGTTATGTTAGATAACCCTGGCTTCTACTTTCAAAGAATGCTATGTATTGCTTAGCTACATCTTTTAAAAACTACTTTATTATCTTACTTATTCACTCATCTATGAGACCCACAGGATGACAGACTGCAAAGTGGGGTGGACAGAAACCTTGAAGTGAGAGAGAAGAATATGGAAATGAAATTCAGTCAGAACACCGAGGAAAAATAAGAGTCCCAAGTCATGGCCTGGGAAGAGATATAGGCAGGGAGAAATCTCTGGAAGGAAACAATCAAGATGTTTCTGAACACTGAAAATCAGCGTTGAATTTCCGGTTGGTTTCTTTATTACTTTATTAAATCTATTACTTCTATGTGAGTTAATGTGAATTGGGAACTTTAAGAGGAAACAGGCTTTTCTCTCTATCACAGATTATAAATAATTATATTTTAGCCTATATTGTCTTATATGTGTCAGTTTTACTTCTCAATTGCTGATAAACACATCATAAGGTGTACTTTCTTCCCTCTTTAAGTAATCCCATCCATCTGCATTCAGATATTCGGACACATAGACTGGTTGGTTGAAAATCTAAAGTCAGACTTATTAGCACAACAGTATGCTGTGAGAATTTGAGAGAAAATTTCCAACAWCCTATTTTGGAAACCAAAGCTGTCTGTAACCCATATCTGGAAAGGGGTTCTGTTTATCTATAATAAAAGATAAATAGTACATGAAATCCTAAAGCAGAATATTTGTTTTTGAATCAAATTTTATTTTAATATAAACAAGTAGATTTACAATAAGTTAAAGCAACAAAGACAAACATCTGATAACTTTGATAATAAATTATATTTTAAATGTTTTGTAGTTATATTTATATTTCCATGATATGATATCATACATAGTAGAAAAAAAAGTCTTTGGGAATTCATAAAAAGCATCTTAAAAAAACAATGGTAGTTAAAAAAACAATCATTTAAATCAAATTATGAGAATTTATTTATACATTGTAAATAAATTTTAGTCACTAAGAAATTACTTTGCTTACTGTTGAAATTTGACTGTTTTGAGAAAAGTAGTCCTAACTCAGGATTCTGTAATTCATCATAGCACTGCTAACAAGCTACCAATAACAAGGGAAGAGCAAGATCATCAAAACTAGGATTGTCGGCTCAACTAAAATTTCAGGTAACAATGACACACCTACAGTGAAACATTATTTGTTGCCTACATCAAATAAATTTTAACTGATTATCTTTTTTTCCCGCTAAGTCTGGAAATTCTGATCAAATTTTCTATAATATAACAAAATTTAATATCTACAATAAATATAAATTCACTCTAACATCATTATACTACTTTATCGACCAAGATTCTTTCTTTCCCTTTTCCATTGTTTCAAATTCATGCACAAATATAACTATATCTGATGCTTAAATAAATATATAAATAATAAATAGGTGAATAAGTTATACTTGAAAATAATTAACATGACCACAAAAAGAACTTAAAGTGCTTCCACATGTCCTCAAAACATCCCTGTGAGGTAGGATGGAAAAACCGATAAGTTTTTCCCCAGTTTAGGAATAAAGGAGAAACCAAAGATTCGTGGATCTTGGTCTGCAGATGAGATATGAATCTGCCAGATTTCACAAATAAAAAAATCTGTGATTTCCAGCTAAATTTGGATTTACAGAAAACATCATTGTGCCATCATTTTTATGTAATTTTGAAATATCACATTTCTAGCAATTCTAATTCCTAAACTTTGACATAGTTTCAAACAGTTGTTTTAAACGAATACATCCTACATGTTGCATGACGCCATGAAAAAATATCTATTGTTTTACTGAAATTTAAATTTAGCTGGGCATCCTATATTTTATCTGGCAGCCTCATAACACAACCACACAATACATGAAGTGCTGAATTAGATTTGTTTGAAATTCCATTGGCATCTTTACTGAAGAATTCTTGGATACCATGGAGAACACTTTTTTTTTCCTCATGGATCTTCATTCTCAGCCCTGAAAATAAACAAAAGAGAATAAAATAATTCAATATCATCAATGTTCTAATAAGGAGACAAGTAGGGTTCTTGAAAATATATTTTCTTGAAAAATTAATGTATTTTCAGACATTCATGTGTTAGAAATGTCTTATAATTTTGACTGTATATACGGAGATCAGAAAAAAATATCTAAAATAGAACACTTGTGAAGTACAGAGGAAACCTTCCTCATGATACAGGTCACAAGCATAAGCAGACTCCCTGGACAAGCTGAAATGCATGGTTTTACCAGTTATAAATATAGCAATCTCACTATTGCTGCTTTTTATTTTTAAAAAGTTTTTAATTAAAAGATTTTCAGAAGCAGCAGCAGGAAATTAATGGTCTGACTTTGGGACTCTATGCCTCAGAATAAATGAAGAATTTAAATAATTTTCTAAAAAACTTACCTCTTCAAAAATATCTCCACAACCTTCTGCACCCATTTTTCCTTGGGGTTCAGGCAAAGCTCTCTTCCATCAACAAGCTTGACACTGAAATGGGAGAGATGGTTAATAGCAGTATTTACCTTTCCCATTCTAACCATGGTTCCTCAAGTACAAGCATAATCCAAGACCAAAGTAGCCTTCAACTTCAAACTAGCCCTTGACCTAAGTTTTGTTCTATCAGTTTTGCTTTGTTTGGCTCACTTATATATTCCCAGTACCTAGAATTTTCCTGGATATTTCCACTTTCCTCAAATTTTAGGTTTGCTTAAGCAAATTAACTAATCATTTTTTTAAAGTACCTACATGATTTCTGAATTGGCACAGTGGGGTCCACTCTCAATCACTCTCAGTTCTTTGATGTATTTGGGGTGGAAAGGTGTGGAATGAGTTTTTATGCACTGGCATCGAAGTTCTGTGCCMATCCTTGCCAGAACTGCAGCTGTGAAGAAGAAATAAAGAATGGTTAGGGATTTCATCAAGAGGTACAGCTCTGCTAGCTACTCCCTCTTTAATCCCAACATGATTGTCTGAGTAACATAGAAAACATCACATTCTAGAAGACCCAGTCTTGACCCTGAGGTCCAGATGATGTCCTAGCCCTTGACCTAAGTTTTGTTCTATTTTAAAAGTTATTGCTAAAAACATCGAATAGCTTTCTACATAGAACATTAGAGTTATCTTTGTGCTAGGCTGACATCTTCATTATACTGTTTCTTCCAATCAGTATTACATAATCATTGGTAATAATGAAGTGCTATTTAACACATGCAAACTAAGTTCACCAACATAGAAACTGCTTTCTGAAAGACTTAATAGAAAATGTAAATGAACTTCACAGAGGTGTCATATCGTACTAAAATCCTTAATGCTTAAAAGAAAAACTATAGAAATTTAAACTATCAGCATTATAAACTGTTTATTTCATTGGAGCAAACTCAAGGTCAGCAATCAGGGTATCTTTAAACCTAATAGGAACTGATAATTATTAGAAGCTTGTAAAAWAGCACTATTTGAAGTTGAATTATCTGAATTAAACCTGCTCAATATTAATAGATAATTTGGTTAACTGTTGTCCTTAATGGAATATTCTATCAATTAAAGTTTTATATGAAATATATGCATATTGCAGAATATAAATTATAAGAGCAGTGTCTATATTAATCAAACTTTATAATTTCCCAAGTGTTATACAGCCTAAATACTAAAACTTCAACTTAACATTAAATAACTACAAAGATTATTTTGTCTTCCTGGTGTTTGTTCTCAATGCATTTAGGGTAGTTTTGCAACCTGGAGATCACATTGAGACAAATGGAAAGCTGTGCTTACCTTCACAGAGAGTTGCAGAAAGTAGGCAGGTTACCAAGAGAGCCACAGCCAGCTTGGAAGTCATGTTTACTCAAGATGAAGTGGTTTCTTCCGATTTCCTTTTGGCTCTTGTTCTAGAAGCTGTGTTCTCAGCTGTCTCTGAGGATCTGTGCTGAATGAAGTGTTCCTCTGGCTTTTTATATTATCACAACACTAGAGAATAGATGCACCCTCATCCTTGCATTATGTCAGAGGAAATTCCACAATATGCAACCACCTCCTGCCCTCGAAGCTAAACCTGAGTCATCAGACTTCCCTGATCAGTTCCTTATCACGTTTTTAGTATGATTGAAGTTTTCTTTGATCTTTGAAATAATGTTAACAAATATTTTTATATACCCAAGCTTCCCGGTTTAATAAACTATTGTCAGTGATATTCCTCTATTTATGGATAGCTCCTATTACTCCATGACAGAGTAGAGCTGTTAGAACAAAGTCATGGATTGTTCTTTTTATGATAGGATCATTTCTTTAAGCAAATAATACGAACTGTGAAGATAGTGAAGGTAATCTTATTAACCAATTTTATTGGGTACATAGTTTATGGTAAGTCCTTTTATAAGCATTTTGGAACACTTCCAGGAACTGTTACTGCTCTCAAGGATCATAGTCAAACTTTAAATTTTTGTTTATTAATGTATGTTAATAGAATTAAAAGGCGCACCTGCTGCATACAAAAATAATTCAGTTTTAAAACCATTAACGTAGCAGCTTTCTGAGTAATGTGGAGGATCTAGAGATGGTAGGACTAAGTAGTCTTAAAAGAGTTTGGTCTATCACATAAGGACTGACTGTATTACAGAGTAGGTAAGTGGTACTGAGATATTAACTTCACTCAAGGGCATCAGAGTAGAATCTTCCAAAAGCAATCAAGAGTGTTGAAGGATGGGAGGATAGTCACCGGGGAAGAGGAAAAGGAGCAGCACATCTAAGCAAASACTATACAAGGACTGTTAAGTGGTAGAGTCCAGGTATGCTTCTGCTCCTGGGAGTGGCACACTAAGGCTCCTTGGAAATGTAAACCACACCTGCTTAGTGAAAAGACACCTTCGTTCAAACTCTGGCCCAGTTACCCCTCTTTCGTGCTCCTTATCCAAGGAAACCAAGGCTAACCCCTGAAGGCTTGTGAGCACTAGAAAGAGGAACAGTGTGAAAATTTTCCAAGTTGTAAAAAGATGACTTTGTGTTCTAGTTTCCTGAAAAGTCCTTTCAAGACAGGTCCTAGTTTCTTTGGATAAGGCATACTGAGTAAGGCTGTCCTCTCTGGAGAAATACTCAGTTTATCCATAAATCAGTTTGGTTTAATGCTTTTCTTCCATCCTGGGTAGTGACATAAACAGTGAGCTCCTCACCACAGAAAGTTGTGTGGGAGGAATTCCACAATGCTTTATGAAAAGGCCAGTTTCTGAGYAATCATACTTCTTTCTTTGTCTTCCCCTAAGCAACCTAAGCTCRAGGACAAAGTGGTGTCTGGATTACACTACCTTCAAAAGCAAAGTAAATGTTCATTCTGTATAACACAACTCCTATTATTTTAAAGTTAGTATTTCAGGAACTTAGTTATCCATTTACTTATTTATTTTCTACTCATATCACRAGTATGGAGATGGGAATATCATGTAAATAAGATATAGTACCCACTCCAAGGAGTTTTCAAACTAGAGCTGCTTATGGACAATTAATCATCACCAGTGAGACCCATTCATACTAGCAGCACCACCAAGATGCTCAAGAGTTCTGACCAAGTGCAAATACTCCTTTACTTTTCCCAGAAGGTTGCTTTTGTATTTTTGCTGAGTTCTACCTACGTGTGAACCTCATTTCCCTCCTTATTTCCATCTCCCTATATCTGCCTCCTTCCCTACTTTCTTAGCTCCTATTTCATCCTGACATCATCCTTAGAAGTTGAGTTAATGAGTTCCATTTAACCTTGATCTCTTTCCTTCCTCCCTCCCATCTTTCCTTTCTTCCTTTCTAGAATGGAGCACTTACAGGGTCAAAAGACCTCTTTTCAAATGCTATTCATCCCTCACAATGTGACCTTCTATACACTATGTTCTAGGATCCCCTCCATCAGATATAGACAAGTGACTAGAGGAGACACTATTTTTCCCTTGTCCCTCTTCCATAAAAGTAACCCTTTGAATCATTATACCATGAGTAGAAGGACTAAATAGTCTTAAATAGGAAAAGAAGCAGGACTAGCTATACTCTACAAAGACACCCTGCTTTAAAATACAGTTACATTTATCCCTTCCTGGAGTAAGAGAATCATATTTCCTTTAAAAGTTTGTCAATCAAAAAGTAAAGGAGTATTACAACAGATTATTCTTATATTATCAGTTCTTTTTAGTTATACATGACAGTAAAGTCTATTTTGATATAATTATACAAACATGGAATATAACTTATTCTAATTAGGACCCCAGTCTTGTGGATGTACACGATGGTGAGATTCACTGTGGTAATACAGTAAAGCTTCTATCCAGATGCTTTTTGCCATTATACAAGCTTTCTTTTTTATATCTAGTGATTCAATTTACAATTATGTGTAGCAAATAGCACCATAACTATTGATTGTTATACACAGAGAATTAAGTATCATTTATAATAGTATCTCCCAAATCAACGGAGTTTGCAGTTTGAAAGRCAGGTTTTGGAAAAAAGGGCTATTATGAACTTGAAAAATCTAGGATCAATCTGTCTTTAATATGAAACAAAAAATTTAAGTGCTTACTTGTAGTCGTTACTTTCTTTGTTAAATATATACAACAAAAGTATGTATACACTTATTTTCTTTGTTAGATTTATTTTGAAGGTATTTAGGCATTGTTTACTCAAATGTTCATAATGCCTGTGATAATATATTATATCTTATGAATATATATTATAAATGACAATGATTATATATTATTTGTTAAATGACTTCTTTCATTCAAAGTAAAGGTCACAGGAAATGATATCATTTGGCAGAAAGTAAATTTTCCATTAAAAATGACAGCACTGATGCCTTGGGGTGAATAATAATGCCAAGCAATTAAGTCAAGTGACTAAGGAAAAAAAAAAAAAAACAACCCAAAACTTTCAGAAATGCTGATCCAAGGTGGTATGATTGCAATTTTTCTCTTTTCCTCAAAAGCTCCTTAATTATTTGCCTTGGGGATTTTTAAAGTATTATGACAAAATTTGACCCAAGTATGAATTCCACATTAATGAATTCCATGGATGTGATGCACTCTCAACCCATCTGGCGTCCATTTGTTGATATATGTCACACACTGGACTGGAAATTCCACAAAGTCAGAAACCATGCCAGGCCCATCAACACTGGGTGCCAGCCTCCACCAGGCCTGCACATCACAGGTGCTCATATTCTGAATGAAAGCACAAAATTCCCAGTTCTCACAACCTCTCCAAACAAGAGCAAAATCAACAAAAGGAAGTAGAAGGGTTTATCTTTGTTTGTTTTTGTTCTCCCTTGCGGACAATTATTTTATTTATATAAACACAAAAAGAATTCACTATGGAAAGTACAGTTTTAGTTCATGCTCTCTAATTCAGCAGTGAGCGGGTAAACTAGAACCAGTGTAACCAGGCAGCAATTTCCTCCTTGGTGAATTAATCATCCAGTCTTTTCCAGGCTCCTCTAGGGCTGGGATAGGAGTAATATAGTAGTAGATCCTTTAGGATAAAGGATGGTAAGCACATGCAACCAGCAACTGGAGCCCACTTCCCAGTACCTGCATTTCACAGACCACGGAGCCCTGTAAACATTAACGGTGTCTTACATAGTAAGTCCAATAACTTCCACTGTGCTTAGATTAAAGAGATTAACTTCTCTTTTAAGTATTATCTTAGTGGTTCTCAACCTTTTTAATTTTAACCATTTAATTCTATGAAAGTGTCTTAAAAGCTATATATTATCTGCTCCAAATCCATGTGGAACCCAAAGGTACAAAGTTGTTGAAATCCCCAAAGGATTTTAGGAAGTTTACCAACCTCCCCTACAAACCCTCAAAGGCTAAAATCAATAAAGAGTAAGTTGAAGGTATAACTTGAAAATAGTAAGTGAATCCTGAGTTTACCATCTTTAAGCCATATTAGCTGCCAGAGAAATGGAATCCCATGACTGAYTCTTGCTCTTTCTGGATTCTTGTTCTTTCATGTCCACGTTGAAAACTCCAGAAAACAATCTCTTAAGTTCTAGAAGATGAAGAGGGAGCAGAATGAAGAGGAAGAGAATGTTTTTATAATATTAAGCATAAATATGAATGACCTTTGATTTTTTTGTCATCCATCAGAGTACAACCCAAAGCTATTTAAAAATGATTAAAACTGAGTACTACTTTGAAGTGCTGTTACCTCCTCAGTGAACCTGTTAAAAGGTACAGCCAATGGCAAAAGGTGGCTGAGGCAGAGGGGTGAATTTTAGTCCTTCCATATTCCCCTCATCTCTCCTGAACAGCTAYCTAATTCAAGGGAAAACTACCTAATGATTTTTCACATAAAAGGGAAGCCAAATTAGAAAATAATTCAGATTATGTACATATTTGGAGATGTGGGCTAGTCTCTCAGTCCCCCAAATTTATAGCAAAAATAAGGATATGAAGCTTCTTAGGTCTCTCTCTCATCTGGTGCCTCATACTATTTCATTTCCAGATTTGAGCTCTTTTGATTTCTAGGTGGTTAATTCTCTCCTCTAGTATGGTTCCCTGTTTGCCACAACGATTCATTTATAGTATATCATTCTTGATTCTTATCATATTACTTACTGAMCAAATCTCTCCCTGTGGGTCTAAACCAGGAAGCAGGAAATCACTACTACAGGCTCCAGTGGACTTTTGAAACAATGTAAAAACTGTCCACTCCAAAGCTATTGAATGAAYTTTCTATGCCCTTCCTTTTCCCTACCAGTGAGAACTGGACTTGGGATAACATCATTGTCACCATCCCCTGCAAAGTTGGGGATAAAACAAAATAGATACCGGTGGGGAGGAAATGGGGAAGAAACAATACACTACTAGG